AAGTCAAAGTAAAAAGGGCTGAATAAACACTATATAATTCTCGGCCCTTTGGGTAGTACCTGCCTTCTGATCAAATATCGCCTGGAAAGGGGCAAACAAAAACTAAATAAAAACTGTCTGAACTGGTCTGCTTCATTTCTCAGGATATGGACCAAGACTGAATCTGTCATAGCTAAAGGTATTAGCTTGCTTTACTTTTTATGTTTTTCAAGTGCACAAAAAAAAAAAAAAAAGAGTTAAAAGAAAGTTAATAATTTAATCCGGAGGCAACGGGGCTAAAAATTTATTATGAAGGCTTGTACAAGGTTAAAGGCCCTGTTGTACCACACAAAGCCAACTTTTTAGGGTCAATGAAGATGCCAGGATGTCTTTATATACATGCATCAATGCTTTGTGCATCTATACGATGTATAGATGCTTCATATAGATGCATACAGCGCCTATTTATATGGGCCCTGGTCTCGTCCAAGTCAAGAGCCATCTGGAAGCATCCTACAGCAGATGCATGTGCTGATGTATATGCAGCGTCCGACTCCACAAGATGGTGCACCAGTAAAGTTGCAGGTTAGTTTCGGTTTCATCTATTTCTATGATTAAAAATTATTTAAAATATTTTGGGGGAAATCTACTTGCTGTTTTAGACTTAGTTTCTCATGCTTTCAAAAAACATGGTGGAAAAAAAAAAAAAAACGACACTAGGGGCCTCCTAAAAAACAAAATTACAATGTAAAGATGTGACCATAATTTAGAGAAAATAAGATGACACAATATCCTGTAGTCCCCTTTGTCAGACATAAAGGTTACCGCAGAATACTGAAATGGCCAAGAAAGTGCAGAGCTAATGATATGGGGTTCCCTCTGAACCCGCAAAAATAAATGAAGAAAGCTTTTTTTTCTACACTATGCAATGCCACTAAAGCTGAATGCAAATTATCTTGGCAGCATTCTAAACTTACTACTGGAAATCCAAGGCGACGGACAGGATGAAAACACAGCTAGACTAGTTGTTCACAAAACAGAAGACTACAGTTGGGAAAAACTCGTGTCTTGTTAGACATTGCAGTCACTGCAGAATGGTGGGAGAACACCAAAGTAGCCTACAAATCTGGATGGGACAAATGTGGAGTCAGTGTGATAAGGCAGAACCTTCCATCTATAGCTGAGTAAGGGAGACAAGTGATATCATTCCTTCAAGCATGAGAAGACAAGATAATCAGAAAAGATACACAGAGCCTACTGTGTTCAGTAAAGTCAGAAATGGGAGAAACTGGAAAAGAAACTTGGGGGTTGGTCAGTGGACATTACCACATATCCCTACAAAGAAAAGAATATATGCCTGCACACTTCCATTAACAGCTGATCCTCATCAGGTTACTATTGTGCACAATTTACTGGTATAATAAGCTAAAACTTCCCTGGCTCATTTTTTTTTTTTTTTTATGTTGAGAGAAAAGGTGAGGTTATAAACTTTTACTTCAAAAGAAAAACAAATCTAGTTAACTAAACCAAGTTTGATATTTGGATATCAATATAAAGGGAAGCCTGCAAATACTGCCTATCCTCCTATGACAAATGCAGCTTTGTGCATCGAGCAATGACCTTTGAGCATGAGGTTTGTGAATAAGAGTTGTTTACAGCTACAACACAGACAAGCTCATTTTAAATTAATTTATGAGGCAAGCACTTTAACTCTGTCTGCTCTCGTGCCCTTATAAGGCTCTAGTGCCCTTACATACATCACACTACTGGCACCATGCATGTACATACATTATTTCATTCTACCAATGGAAAAAAGTAAATTGTCATCCAGACATATTTTAACTGCAGTGGCTTTTATCTATAAACCAAAAATATATCTAAAGACAGGGGTGGATTTACTGGTCAGGCTTGGGGGAGGGGGGGAGGGGGGGGGGGGGGGGGTCTAAAGCTGACATATTACGGCAAGACCATTGCAGCTCTCTTCGAGAGGAGGAACCTTTGGAAATCAGGCACGGAAAGTCATCTTGTATTTTATAAATCTCTATCTTTACAAACATGCCACCGAGCCTCCATCGGAAAAAGTTGTTTCCACATTGCAACTGTTTTGTGGGGGGGTTTTTAGTATGCCTGTTTTTGGATCAAAGTGCCCTTACGGTTTTGTGCTAAACAAATGGCTCCTAGCCGTTTTAGGTATCTATATGATGCAATTTAAGAAGCAATCCCATGTTACCTGAATTCTTCAATCTTACCGTAAAATACCCGGCAAGCGCCCACTCATACTTAGGAGATAATTGCAAAAAAATGGGGGATGGGTGCTTTTCTGGTCATCAATTTTACATTGAAATGTACTATGCGTATTTTCTCAAATCTTACAAATTTGGTAATGGGCGCTTAATCTGGAATGGGCGGATGTGCGGTATTCTACGGTAGTTCACGATTGAATGATGAGGCGAAATTAGGTTTTATCCGAGAGCATCCAAACCAACTCAAAATGAACTAGTGAATTATTTGTAAAAAAATGAGAAACATGAGTGTGCTAACAATAAGATGTACAACCTTCCTGCAAGCCAAGCTGGCTCAAGGCCAAAGTGGCAGACATTGCTCTGCTTCAAAGCTAGGCCAAATGTACTGGCAACAGAATGAAGCATGCTAGCATTGACTCCCCTTCATGTAGGTGTAGCTATGCAAAACGCATTGTTTGCATCAGCGCTTACAGAAAAGTGTTTTCTAAAACTAGGTGCCTGCACCCCTGTCTCCCACAACACTGCACAGAATTTTGTTTGATTTCACTTAAAATTAGTTAAGCTGACACTAGCAATGCACAATACCACCTCCTTGTCTTATTTCCTTTCGAACTTGTAAGCACATAAAAGCATTTTTGTATGAATTTGTACTAAATGCTAGGAAGATGCCAATGAAGTGAGAAAGGCTGGCAACTAAAGCAAAGTATATCCAGTTGGCAAGGGTTGAGCAATACAATACTAAAACTATCTTACAAACACCTAGATATCTGTGTACAAAAGCTTGTGGCTCACTTAACTCAATGGACATCAATGTGGTTACAAGCAACCTATCAGCCCCCCTCCCTCCAAGCCCTATTTTCTTCCCCAGAAAACAGAATGTAGTTAGTATCTAGAAATACCAAACAACTGTAAATGTGTGACCTTTGAAACTTTTCTTTTTTTATGCTATTAGGTACATGCTTAGTTCCAAGCTTCACGGATTATTCAAGAAATGTTTAAGACATCAATTGTGTTAGGTCATCCCCAACTCTTCCCAAAAAACAGAATGTAGTTAGTATCTAGAAATACCAAACAACTGTAAATGTGTGACCTTTGAAACTTCTCTTTTTTGATGCTATTAGGTACACGCTTAGTTCCACGCTTTACGGATTATTCAAGAAATGTTTAAGACATCAATTGTGTTAGGTCATTCCCAACTCTTCCCAGAAAACTTGTACTGGAGACACGGCCAAAAACCAGCTGCATCTAGACGATCAGTGGAGAAAACTAGAAAAAACAGAAGACACGAATCCTTCTAGACTTAATGAAATGAACAGCCGTAGTCTTGCTACATAAGCATGTGCCCTAAACACAGGCTGACGTCCTCGATTATACTCCCAGTGCTTCCAGAAAATAATCAGGACTGTTTGAACGTTCCAAACTTCCTAAGACTGCGGTTAGAATGACAGAAAGAGCCTGGCATGCATACAGACCAACACACGAAGTCAGTCACAGAAACAACACTCGTGTTTGCGACCGATGCGTTCAATAAAGGCTTGGTACGTGCGGTCTTTCGTGAGTAACGTCCTGACCTTGGTCTGGGGCATTCTGAAACGATCGCTTATCATCAGCTAGCCTGTGAGCTTAGAAATTAGTGCCGCTTCAAAGACTGATTAGTTCGACGAAACTCTACCAAGTAGCCCGCGCCCAAACTCGTAAAGCGAACTCAAAAGGCTCGAAAGAGAGGCGCAACAGCGAGTCTCACGTGATCGCGAATCAGTTGGTTTACTCATACCACCAACGACGAGAAAATTCAAAGAAGCTTAATTCCGTCAATCATTGCGGCCGAATGGAGCGAGGGAGCCGAGCGGGGGAAGGGGAGGGAGGTCTAGCCAGCGTTAATAAGCACGCCTATGCAGCCCGGCTGGTTTTGAAATGAAGGCAATTAATGCGAGCGAATCGGGTATTTGGAGAGAATCGAAACCGCAAGGCACAAAGCTGGTGAAGCCGGAAGCGGACGCCCGTACAGAACCCCGATCGCGAGTCGAAGCGCCCGAGCTGGGGCATGACAGCGAGGCTCGGGCAAGTCGCGCTGCTCGAAGCACGCTGGCTGGCTGCCGGCGATCTCGGCGGTCACGCCGCTTGGAAACGCACGCCAGCGAAGTCGAGCAGGCAAAGAACCGCGGCTCGCCGGTGGGCCCCGCCGGGGCCGCGAGCAAATATGTCAGGGCGCCCGACAGATTATGCACCGCACGAGCGGAAGAGACGACGCCGTGGCCGTCCCGCATTCTTGGCTCTGGGAGCGCGAGCAAAATGCCGTACGGTCCACGTCGAAGATCGAGCGGTGCATAGCCGGTGGTCAGTGTTTGATTAGCCTTAAGCCTAACGAGATGATCATTAGCGAGCTAGTAACACGGTCGTCCAGTGTCCGCGGACCCTTCCCGCTTTCGCTCGATACCGCGGCAGTGACAACGGAGCACCCGCACAAATCGCACACTGGCATTCGGACCCGTTTCGCTTTTCCTCACCTTTCGCTCGATCTCGGCGTCTCACAAAGAGAACACTGGGAGCGCGAATACCGCCGGATTCTTTTCGCAAACACGCCAGAACAATGAGCACAAGTTTTCTTTGAACGCCATTTTAGGCCCATCTTCAGCTACCCAATTCATGATCACTTTTGCCAAATGATAATCGGCTCGGACTTATCTTTCCAATTAAACCTCGATCCCGACCAATCCCGATCAATCGGGAGTGTTCGGGAGTTGCACGTGCAATTCATAAAACGAATCGGGTACTTACCTTGGGTTATTCTAGTGCAACAAACAACATTCACAGGCGATTTTTGTCAAGTTTGAGTCGCTTTGGTCGCTTACATTGTACATCTTGCTAGGACTAGCACGCCATGTTACGACGTCTCTGATTGGTCGACACAAAACTACTATCGAATGAATTTGTTTGCGGAAGTATCGTATTTGAGTTAAAATCGTCGTAAACTCACGTTTCCAAGCTCCCAGGGCTTAGTTAATCGAGAAGATACCGCCACTCAGCATATTAAAGCCCGGCGACCAGTAAATGACAATTGTCATTTATTGGTGATCGGCCAATGAAAGACAAGCTCACACGATGGTCGCGAGCAAAGAGTTATGTTTTTCTTTCTATCCCCGGCATTGCGGCCAATGAGAGGTCGAAGATTTTCATAAACTCCCGGATGTATTAGGCCCCAAAACACTGCTGCTGCTTCGCGAGAAAAACGCCAGGGATCCGTCGCGTCCGTCGCCTGGCCGCCCGGCTTGGACCGGCGTCACCGACCGCGTCATCGCTGATGCGCACCTGGCGTCCGACGCGTGCAGTGTGTCCACGAGCAGTTGATCGTGCCGCCGCCGGTTGACCCGTTGCGTTGACGTTGTCGCCGGCAGCGCGGTCGGCCATCCTTCGCTTCCAGTGAGACGTCGCCGACTCCGGCACCCTGGCTGCCCCTGCGTTCTGCGCTGTCGCCCGCTGTTCTCGCCCTTCGGGCCCTCTGGGCGGTCGAGATTGGGCCAAGACGGCCAGTAGCACGCATCTAGCGCTTCCTTTCTGTGGAGAGCGCATGATCGGCATTCACATAAGTGGCTATCATGCGCGGGTTCACCGCCTTGTGTTGTTTTATTTTTTATTTTTTTTTTTTTACTTTCTTGTACTTTGATCACTTTGATGCTCTCACGAGCCGCGTACTTTGAGCAATCGTAATTGGCTGCTTAGGTTGTTTGTGTCGTTCGGATAAACTGCTTACATCTTTGTCTGCTCCGCACATTATTCAGGTCCGTGCCTCCTACGCCCCGCTTGGTTCGACCGTTCGACTGGTTCGACGTCGAAAAAGATGGCGAAGCAGGCGCGCAGCTGCGCAATCCGCGACCTCAGTCTTCCCAAGATGGCGTTTTCTTGTTGTTGTTTTTTTAACTTTTCTTTACAGTTTTCAGTGCATGAGTCGCCGTTACACACTGTCGAGCACATGTCTTGCGACATTAGCACGAGGGTCGTTCGTCGTAACCTCCATGTGCCCTGTCCGCGTTGACTTCGGGGCGGGCCTGCATTCTAGGCCAACAGTTGTCATCTTGAGCATTTCAGGAGGGTCCCATCACCATAGTTTGCTGCTTTATTTTCTTCTAGGCCTGTACTCGTGTCACTACATGCTTCGGGAACACGCTGTCTCCCTCTTCTAGCTTCTGCTATCAACTGTTTTGTTACTGCTATGTATTCTTGCAAAGGGAATGTCGAGACAGCTGCAGGATGGCACTCAAATGTCACTATCAGTAATTTGGCTTTCGTTTCCAAAAAAAAACTTACCAAACATCTATGCTGCCGTCATGGGGCCGAGGTTCTGTCATGTCCACAGCTTTTCTCTATTTAGTTTGTGTGTGAAGTAGGACAATACACAAAGATCATTCAATCATGTAGAGACCGAGTACAATTTTATTATATATATGTACAATATCCGTTTGTAATAATGTACAAAACGACCATTTATTGAAAACGACGATTATTACAACCTTTGCGTTCATTGAGATAAGTTTTCATCGCATCGCGTGAGGATATTACAGTACACAATTTACATCTTGTAGTACTCCTTCAGTAGAAAAAGGGAATATGCATTAAGCAAGGACCATCAATGTAAGCAAACATTGATGCTCAACTTAACTGGGAAGCCTCTTCTATAAATTTAAATTTTTACTTATTCTATATATGAAAGCAGAAGCTCGGATTAAATTAGGTTATCATCTCAGTAGTGACCTCTGTCTAAGCTGGCAGCAGTACACTTCGAAGGAAGTAAAACTCGTCATTCCACAAAGTGACTTAAAATGGGCCGTGAACAAACAATGACTGAGGGTAATTTGATGGCTGTAACAAGTAAATTCAATAAATATATATTGGGATTTATATCTGAAAAATTTCACCAGTCAAGTGGAAGCCGAAATGTGAAAGTTTCATCGCCGGAGCAGCCATTTAGTTTAAAGGAAATATCCCATTAGTAGAGAGTAGTCGAAACAAACATTAATTGCACAAAACACTTGTCCACTCAAATTGCACTGAGATCAAATCCCTATTTTTGACTAGGAATGCTTTTTTTTTTTTTTTTTGCCGGGCTGCAGAAAGTTTTAAGGCTTGTCTAAATTAAATGTTTGTTAACAGCTTGGACAAAAACGGAGCTTGTAAAGTGCTAAAACCTACCACTGTAAACTGAGGGGAAAAAAACAGTATCGACACAACTGTGAATCAGTACAACAGCAGTGTGTGCCCTCACTTTATACACAGTGCTTTTAGCACTTCTCATAGTTTACTTGGACTGCAAAGCAGTGTCTTGTGGTACCTGTATTTGTTGCTGCAGAGAAAGTTTGCTGTTCACAGAAGGTATGGAAGCTTGTAAAAGGGATCAAACTTGGAGTATGAATACAGTAACAAATGGCTTACATGAGCTAGGCCACTTGGTGGAAGATACACACGGCTTTGCAACAGAAACTTTGCAGCTGGCACACACTCCCTGGTCTATATACACGCGTGTTTGTCCGTAATCTCCTGTAATACTTTCCCACGTTTCGTGCACATTGTCGGAACTGCTCGACTCCACAACTCCAACGGAGCCTATGACCATCCATTCTCTCGCGTATAAAAACGATTCAACTCATGCCGATAAAAACAGTCAAATATGCCAACTTTCTACACACTCGTACATGCAACACAAGTATCTGAAACAGACTAACTTTACACAAAAATGGCGCAATTGAGATGGTGAAAAGCTAAATTTGACAGTCCACATTGCAAAGCAATGGAGGCCATGGCCAAGGAAGACCAGCAAAACTTCAATCAGATATGATGTTACCCATCTTGGATTACTGTTACTATCAAAAGAAACATGAATGTGCTACCACTGTTCCCTCAGTTCTTTGACAGCAATCAACCAAAAAAGCAAAAGGCATGCAGTTCAATTATTGCCACGACATAGTGCAGAGTGCAAAAGAAGACTGGTTGTCTCACATTCCTACCTCCTTTGGCCAAAGTATGACAGCACATTTAACCAAGATATTGATTCCTCTAGTCGTCATAACGAGTCGCCATCAAATTGAAAGCGCTGCCACCAAGAGGCAATGCAAAGCATGACCGCTAGAAATGTAGTAAGCAGTCCATGTCGGTGATTTCTCCTCAAAAGAATCGTCGAGAACGAGCGAATATTTGAGAGAAGAAAAAATTATTTCAGATCATGGCACCACCCATCCTGTGCACCGCTCAGGTGCTTGTGGGCTGCACTGTCGGCATACTAAACGGACAACACGAAACAAGTGAATTTTCAAACTGTTCAACACGAGATGCACATTCTTTGGCACCATGGGTGTCAGCAGGAGGGTACCAAAAAGACTTCCCACTAGCCAACCGGTTTGGGTACAGTGGTTTGTCAGCAAGTCTGAGGAGCCTATGCGCAAGGACTCGTCATGCCCCGCACATACTTCTGGCCGACTGTTAAAGTAGGGAAGGTAGGAAAGGGAGAAAATGTGCAAAGTTCACAATTGCAAATTCAGTGAGCAGGCTGTCTTAGCTAAGTATCTATACAGCCTACTTATCCCAGACATTTTGAATCACTTTGGAAGTCTCAAAGGCTATTCTTTGTAGTGGTACTTAAAAAAAAAAAAAAAAAAAAAAACAAGCTAACTGGTTACTTCATAGTGACAAAAACACGACTGAGGAACACACAGAAAAGAGGTGTGTTTGTCCCCTTTTCCATGTGTTCCTCGCTCAGGTTTTTGAAGTTATGACTGTTGGGCAGGAGATCGAACAGTCACGCTCCTAAGGGTTCACTGGATAACTTGGTTGTTTCTGATGCAGCCTTCGACTGGGGCTTGTGTTCAACCTAAAGCACCGGTTGAACATGAACACCAGCCAAAAACCGACGCAGCACTCGTATCCAATCTGTGCCCCACGCTGATGGAGGTAGATGACGCAAAGAACCCAGCGGGGGAAAAGGAGATTTATCTTTCCTTTCCTTATTTACTGCATATGCCTAAAATGTCTAGCAGGAGGCATTTTCTCTCCCCTCCCCCTCCTGTTACGACACTACTAAAATCCAGTTCTTAATCCTTGGGTAAACATCTGACCCACCTTGTTCCAAATGTGTGCTGCCACCTAGACACGCAACTGGGTTCAAGGCTGTTCGACACCCAAAATATCGGCTACATCCTGTTTCCCCATTGATCTGCCATGACCTAGGTACGGCTCCCCCAAACTTCGCCTTTGTCCCCATTGAGGGTTATCTTCGGCCCCAAAGTTTGTACAACGAAACCACCTTCCCCCTCTGCTCGACGAGATGGAAGGAAGAGAGCGAGTGTACCAAATACATTTACTCTCGAACTGGTATTTCTGCAAAAGGTTCACTACCCCCCAGTTTGACCTTCGCACCAATATTCCTTGTGGGATCTACAACAATCGGTCATGTTCTTTCACGAAGGCACCTATTTTAGAGCAGCTATTGCAAAGCATTAAGGTTGTGCACATGCTGAAATCTAAAAATATTCACTTGGGAACTTGACACGGAAGTTGGTACATTCAGCTGAGGGGAAACTTCTTCCCTTAGATTTAACCAACAAAGGAAGTAGGATTTAAAAAAAAAAAAGAATAAATTAGGGTTCTGGAGAGTTTGGTGGCCTTAGAAACGGTGCCAGCTACTCCATGCTTAGGAAAAGAAATGGAACTTCCTTAGACCACAGTCTGGAGGCTTCCAATCTACAAAGGCTGAGGCACCAGGAACACAGGAGAGATACAGTGGGTCATTCCTCCTGCAATGGGACCCCATTCTAAAGTTAGGAGCTCGTGCTCACTCCACAGTAAACTAAAGGGTAGAATAAGTTTGAAATGTGATCTTACCAGCTTCATTTTTAGGCAAAGTGCCCTAGTTTTTTTATTGGGTTTAGATGATGTTCTCGTAACCGGACCTGAATAACTATACTCGTTATTTTCCTTTTAAAAAAAGTAATTGAATTGTAGTCTAAAACTTGGTTTCTTGCAGAGTTCAATACATAACAGGCTGTAAACTCTAGGGATTAGCATTCAATTTGTGTTCACTTGAACACTAAAGCCCAGATTGCACCCCGCTCCCTAAAATGGATCCTGCCGACACCCATGTTTGGCATGTGCAACGAGAGATGCTTGGTGCATTGTAGCCCTGCCTTAGCAGCCATATTCTGCCAAAGCAAAAATCATAAATTGCCACTTTCTCGGGGGTTGAACAACACATTGAATCATTACCATTCATGCGCTGTGAGCACATCCCTTTTGTCTACAATCTTTGATTTGAGATACTAAATAGACTACCACTCAAACACCATTGCAGACGATATACATGCACTCTGAATTCAATTACAAGCATATTTAGATACAGAATCATTGGATGTGAGAAACCCACACAAAAAAAAATCCCAGTTTTATCTTGCGCGGAAAATGTGTAACAATGCAACTTAATGCGCAGTCAGCTTTGCGTAAAACAATATCTGTTTGCCTCTAACAACTCAAATAAGTGCATTCTTATGCCGAAACAATGCCTGTCAGAACTCCATGGGAAAAAAAGGACTTCATTGCAAAGGCACACATGCAATATTACACTAAAAACTGCAACTTAATGGGGGTAAGTTGAATAGGGCTCAATATAGCGAGAAAAAGACAATAGTAAAGTGAATGCAAATCTGGCAGTGCACCTACCCTTCGACCCTTACCCTGTACTCATAATCGCTTCATATTCCTACCAACGATCAGAAAAACCTATTGCTCTCTATGCCGCATACCAGATGCGGTCTCTGTCGATACCATTCCGGAGAATTCGTTAGTGCGCTGCCCCCTTGAGAAACCTTCCAAGAGACCAGCCCGATGCCCATTCAATGTCCTGTGCTCCTGGAAGAGAGCCTCTTGTTCGACGGCCAAGCAAGTGACGCAGCAGGTAGATGTGACTTTCATCCGTCACAACAGGCAAGATGGTTATCTCGTGGCCTGCGTGACGGACACCTTGAGGTCGTTGGCCAGGTGCGAGACGTCCACAATGCTGTCCACCATTTCTTGGACAGCCGCCACGGACGGGAACTGCAGAGCCGCCTTCTTGGTGCTGCTGATGAGACCCTTGAGGGCTTCGCACAGGTTGCTCGAGCACTGCAGTACCTGCGCTCGGACGTCGGCGTTGAGGACGTTGCGATATACTGTGTCCCCCATGTACACCAGCTTGTGAGCGCTGATCACCACAAACTTGCTGTGGCCGATGAACACCTTGGGCGGCTGGTTGTTCTCGATGGTGGCCAGGAAAGCGTCGATGGCACTGGTCAGAAACAGGATGTGGGTGTCAATCTGAGCCCCGTAGAAATTGAGAATCTGCAAGTCGTTCTGGTCCAAGCTGGCCGCGCATGAGAGCGTCGGTGGTTCCTGAACCACGCCTTCGACAATGAGTTGAGACTGCTGCAGCAGCTTGTCGAAAGAAAGTCCCAGCTCTGCCGGCAGGGCAGCCTTGATTTCCTCGTTTTCCCTCTCGACCGAAGCCTTGGACTCGAGGTTGACGTAGTCGTAGTCGCTGGCCCACTGGTCGTCGTCTCGCTTCGGTGGCACAGGCAGCGGCCTCTCCTGCATCGGTCTCCCGGACTCACTGATGAGCGGCGACTTCTTGAAGATGAGTGTCGAGTTTCCCTGTATAGTAGACGCAATCTGCTGGATGTCTTCGGTGAGGCCGCGAGCGCACGCAATGAGCTGGTCAAGCTCGTCGGGGCCAGCCGAGGTGTCTCGGGTGGCGCTGATCTGCCAGCCCTTGTCGTCAAGCGCCTGTGTGGTGGTCACCACCACCTGGTACGAGTCGACGAGCGGTTTGGCCAGTCTCGCTAGCTTTTGGCACAATTTGCGGTCTTCCAAATGGGCGGCATTGGCCAGAGCCCCCTGGGCAAAGTTGAGGAACTCGCGCAGTGACGTACGCAATTTGTGGCAGCTGGTCTTGAGGTCGTAAAGACGGCTCTCGTTGGTGGCGCTTTCCTGTCGCTTGAGTGTCGAGTGGGTGAGCGAAAAGAGCTTGCTGATGGCACTGCTCACTTCCTGCTGCACTTTGACCAGCATCTCCAGTGCTGCATCCCGTTCCAAGTGCAGCTCTCTTAGCTCTCCCACCGCCTCATAGTCCCGGGAGCCACGCGAGTCGCTGCTCGATGATGAATGCCGCTTCGAATCAGTTTCGTCCATGACAAGTGGCAGCGGGGCGTCACGTGTAACCTGCAAGGTTATGCCCCCAAAATTATTTATCATAGAAACCAAGTTCAATGCCATGTCTTTTCTAGCCTGATTTAGGTTTCTCGATTAGGCATTGCCCGTAGCTTCACTCAACAGATGCTGCGGGTCTTTTTAGAGTTTAAAAAATTGGAAGATTAAGATATGTGGGACCTACTTTTGCACCTTTACCCCAGTTTGAAAATATTTCATTTATTGCGCGGGTTATTTTCAAACAAAGGGTCTTGTAGTAAAGTACATTCCATTAGTCAAGCCTTATGCATCACTTTTAAAAAGGAATAAAAATCTTGCCGTAGTGTCCCGAGACGCCCCACCCTCGCATGATAACCCACCCCCATTTTCGGCATAATTTGCTCTTTTTTTCAGAACCACCAAAGGATAGCCCACTTAGTACAGGGCCCTGGCCAATGGTGACCTTGGCAGAAATGGTGTTACTTAGCCAAGGCGGGAGATGAGTGAACATTGCTGACAGAGAAGGACAGTCGTCTTTGGTTCATCGCCCCTCCCTGCAATCACAAGTTTCACAGGTCATAAAATTTAAAACTTCTGTTTTTCCAACTTTTTTTTATCCCACACCAAAAGTTACTCTTTGTTTTCACCCAATTTGCTTTCAATTTTAGGTGGGCTATCTTGGGGTATTATGGTAATCTGTGACTGTTATTTGCATTTTGGTTATATGTATGCCTAATTTTACACCATAATCTCTTTCAACAAGGCCCCCTGATACAGAACTATACAGCTATACACAATACATAACAAGTCTCAAGATTCAATTGGGCGCCAATTCTCCGTATCGCGCCCACTGGCCACTGATCACCCGTGATCATGGATTCCTTGTGCTGCCGAAATTCAAATCTGGTGCACAGGAACATGTTGCATCCCCTCATGGATAGCCAAAGAACTACAGCCTTGATTTTTTTTTTATGCACTCTCTCCCAAGCTGGTGAGCTATCAGAAATGAATCTCTGTGCAACGGTGACATTTGTCAAACATGGCATCCTGCTGACATTGTGAATTGTTACAAAAATGGCCTCAATTGCACAATTTAACTGCCTTTGCTGCTTGTTTTTTGGATGACAGCAGCAGTGAGGACAGTGGACGATGTTAAATCATTTGAGCTCAGCTCCTACAGCAAAGTTTCACCTCTGAGGTGCAGAATATTGGCAGAGCCGGGGTACACATTTTATCTGGGCCACAACTCACAAAAACACCACCAGAGGAGAAGTTAGAGCAGTGCTGTGACAAAAAAAGTTTTTGTGCGAAATCAAAAGTGTTCTTGAAGACACACACATCTGCAGGCAACAGCGTCTCTGAATGGCACAATGGCACGGAAGCACACTTGCCAACAGACCAAAAAAGACAGTATTGCCTAGAGCTCTCTAACTTTCAAAAGTGACAGTGGTGTGCATGCACACTTTGTATATTTATGATTTTTAAAAATCATAGTATGTTTTATTTAATACTTCCGCATATTTGACTTTTTGTTCTCACTTTTTTTCCCAAACATTAGTATATACATTGTTTTATTTGTTTGTTTTTTTATTAAGCTTTTTTGCTACATTATTACGCATAATATTTAACCATATGCTAAAACTTTCTTAAAATAAAGATATAAAAAAAATTGCTTGTCCAACCCCCAAATTTGCCACTTTTCCCCACTAGTCAAAAGTTCTCTTTACAGCATAATGCTTCGTAGCCAAGACACTCCAGACTGATTGCCATTATATTCCAATCGCTCCTGCTTCCGTTGCAGATACAATGCAAAACAAACAAGCCTGTATTCAATGTAGCACAGTTCCAGGTACGCTACTTTCATGCTGAGCACATTGTGTCCCAATTTGGCAACACATTTTTCTCTGGAAGACCCGATAATTTTTCTGGATTATATGGGGTAACTGGGTAGCATAATTTTACCGCTTTTATCCTGATTTTCTTACCATCATAGGTGTACACATCCCGAGCATAACTTACTGTTACCAAGCCTTTGACAACGTAAAATATTTAAGAGACAAAGGCCTCCATTCGAAAAGTGACTTGTTTAGGTTTCTTCTCCGACTTCGTCGTCTGAACCAGGGTGTAAGACAAGCAGGTGAGGAAGCGAGAGCCGATTGGGCGGCCTGATTGTGTCCCCGCTTCAGGAAGATTTGTGGCACTCCACATACGATGGCGCCTCGCAAAGAAACAAAACACAAAATATCCTCATTAAATTTACAGGCAATGCGACTCACTGGCAATTTATTTCATAAACTGCACATGAACCACGCAAGTTTAATTGAGCAAACTAATAATGTATTTAAAATATGGGTTCTATTTCGCCCATAGTCTTATATTACAAGTTAAAATAATCAAGGAGGCACGCAGCACACAAAATGAAGGCGAGCTGAAAAGTAAGCTGAAGCGCGTCGTCAATGCGTCGACGGAATTGATTCCACTCCGCCTACAGATGTGTTCGGCGATCTAGCTTATGCGGAGCGCAAGTTCATCTGCTTCTTGCACACGGGTTGCGATGATGTCAGAACGCCAAGCTCTTATTGGCTGATCAAAAAAAAAATGGGTAGATCTCAAGGCATCTAGCCTTGAGGTCTATCCTTTCAATCAAAGCCTGTCGGAGTTCGGCATCGTTCTGACATCACGGCAACTCCTGCGCAAGAAGCAGACGACTTGCACTCCACAGAAGATTTCTCTGTTTATGTACATGCAAGCAAGGTAAGTTACAGTTCGACGTGATTTGAAGCCAGCGGTACGCTGTCGCACTCCACTGTGGTCGTACTGTGCCCAGCACAACAGAGTCGCCCGAACTCAACATCACCCATGTTAAATATCACAGATATTTTTTCTTTCAGGCCGTAACTCAACCGACAGTTCGGAACACAGCAATAGCGGCCCATACCTTGAGAATCCTGGCCGTCCCCAGGCCCCAAAACACAGCGAGAAATGACAATTTTGTCTGCTACCCGCCATATTCGCCTGCTCCAAGCTCGTTCGGGAGCAAAACAAAGCCAACAAAAAGCAAAGAGCAAGTCAGATTTTTCGCAGACGACTTCACATTGCCAGCCACCCACTGGAAAATGCATCAAAGTTGAGAAAAATGTCAGTAAATAATCACGTGGTAATTTTTTTTTGCCAGGATTTCGTAAATTTGACTTTAAATTAAAGAATATCGCTGCAGACACGGTGCATTCTCTCGCAGGGTTCCATGTAAACCAGAGTCCGTCGCCTTGCCACCGCGCCATCTATTGTAAGGTGGAGGTACCTGCCGAGCGGAAGCCGCCAGGAGGACACAATCTGGTCGTACCACTGCAGCAGGGTTCAGTGGTTGTTTCCCCACCTGCCTATCTTAAACTGGTGTGAACACACATTGCAGTCAAACTAGAGCATAGCTTTTCTTATGTTTCGCTTTCAGCTGGACAGAACTTGCAGCTGTTCTTTAGAACTCAGTCAGTTCACCTGCGGGCAGCAGAATCAAGTGTTGAGTGAAACTCGCCTGAGGTGGCACGTCGTAGACGCCGTCCATGCACGGCCCCTGAGTGATAGGACCCCGCTTGGGGGGCGTGTCGTAGTAAGGGGCAGGAGCATTGTTGGTCGGCACGTCATAAAACTGCAGGAGTGTGGTGCTGTGGCCAGGGGGTGGGGGTACGGTGCCCAGGCCACCGCGAGAAGGGACAACGTTGGGGCAGGTGTCGGCCACACGTCGAGGACCGCTGACCGGGATGTCGTACGCCTCGTGGCCCTGTTCCAGACTTGACCTGTTCGAGCCTGGTTTTGATGAGAAGACCGAACCAACATGCTGCAGCATACCTCATGAATCACCTCTGTATAATACTGCAGTGCATCTTGCAAAACACCATGCACAGACATATTGGTCGCACTTAACCGGAGAAAATGCTAGGGCTACACATGGAGAGAGTTTTGGCCCTTTCTTTTGGCAGACTCGCGTGTCTGTATTCTGCCGAGCTTCGTGCCTTCTTTGTCCCTTCCCTTGATCAGTTGACCCTGCCACCTCGTGTAAACCTTCTCGGTCAACATCGCCGTTTGTGTTGTTGAAACGTCAAACCCCACCTCTGGTCTCGTGAAGTGCGATACCACCAACACGGGGATGGTTTGGCCCAGGACACATGCAAAGGAAAAAAACATTTTTTAAAGAGCTTAGATGGAAAAAGGATGTCATAAAACGATTTTACAACCAAGAAAAAAAATGTTTAAAGCTATATTTACGACGCTATACGAATTTGTAGTTGGCGCCCGCGGGCGCTGCGAAAAAGTGGCCCTTATTTATCACGTGACTGGCCCTTATTTGTCACAGGGTGCTTGCGCTCTTTCGGAAGCCTCCTTTGGCCTTCAAAAGTAACTTATTAATCTTTGTTTGACGTGTAACAAAAAACTAAGATTAATAAGTAACTTTTAGAGCCCAAAGGAAACTCCTGAAAAAGCGCAAGCAGACGTGATAGACCTGTGCGCCGGTCAGATGACGGCAGTGGCGCCCCGAAGCAGACGAACTTGTGCGGCGGCGGCGACGGCGGCGTGGAGAAACGCGTTGAAGCGGTGTCACACAACGCTCTGCGTGCGGCGGCGGCGTGACTTTGCAGCGGCGGCGCACAGGCCTATCACATGACCAGCGGCGGCTCCCGCAAATGCCAACTACAAATTCGTTTTGCGCCGTAAATATAGCTCTAAATTTTTTCTTTTTTCGTTGTAAATTCGTTTTATAATATTGTTTTTCCAGTTAGCCTGTTTAAAAAAAAAGTTTTTTTCCTTTGCATGTGTCCTTTAATGGCATGGTGTGGCGCTAAATGTATTTGTGAACTGCTGGAGCTAGAGGGAGAGAGAAGACAGTGAAAACGAGGGAGCTTAGTTTACACATCTTGCAAATGACTACGGAGCTCGGCCAGTCTCACCTGTATCTCACACAAGCCACAAGGCAAGTCTGCAAGGCAAAAGCAGTTTATAACTGGACTATGAGACAGGTATTTCCAGATGTTAAGCCCTAAAAACACTAACTGAGCTCAACAACCTGCAAAGTATCTCTCCTGAGTCAAAAACAATGCACTGTGCATCTCATCTCTACATCAAGGTGGGAAGCTACAACCTGATGCCGTATGACTTCTCATTTCTATTTTTGTCTCATTTACAATTAACTATATAACATTGGCCTGGAATTTGTTGTTTAACCTGTAAAAGTCAGAAATAAACACTTCAGCAGCATTTGCATAAGCTCGTAGGGACCCGAAAAATTTATCAATGACTTGACGGCGAAAAAGAAACCAAGGGGTGCCACGAGTATGTTTTTTAATACCCACAGTAATCGCTTTTATGCGCTTTGATCGTTCCATTCCATATGTCCATATGAGCCAACTCAATACAATGTGTAACTGAAAATGAACACAGATATTTCCACATTCATTAATCCTGAGAGCTAAAGGAATGAAGCACAAGATTTAGGAGCATTGTCGTTGTTCCTCTCTCTACCAGCACGTCGACTCATGTGGAATGTACCTACAAACTAACGCACAAAAAAAGTCTCGTTACGCAGAAGAGCTGCAGCAGTGTGAAGCACCACAGGAACACCACAAATACATGACAAATGCACGAACAGAAAAAGGTCAGTTTAAATTTTGATGTGGTTGCATTTGTGATGATTTGCTTCAATTTACAGCAGACAGGTGCCGATGCATGTACTAATATCGCTGACGTACAGTGCTCACCAAACTTATACGAAGCATGCAAACCGAGTCTTTTCCCATGGCAGTGCTATCCTGGAGGAACCTGAGCAATGGCTCCTCGACGTAGCACTTCAGGATGTTTGATGGAATGCAATGTATGTCACGAAGCAGTTCCTCAGCTGCCGCCAGGATAGTGCTACCATGAAAAAAAATAGCTCATATTTTCCGTCCAAGTTTCGTGAGCACTGTACATAGAGCTCACCATCTCAGCACATACACCACATTCATAGAAGATGACGGGCAAGATAAAACGAGCAAAGTGCGTCAGACTCGTGCTTACAGAAGAAGGCCCCCAAAATGATTCCCATACTCGAGAAATTCGAACAACTTGCATATGCAGAAACATTCATGCAAAAATAAAAATTAAAAATATTAATCTTTTTTTTTTATAAAACGTTGCCTGTGCAATGCTTCGAAAGACGACCACAACTTTCACCGCATGCAATCCATGGCCACAATACTACAAAAAGAACTGCCCACACAAACAATGATGCCTAGGAGCAACACTGACCCACTGAGAATGAGCACGGTAGCCAACAGGGCAACAAAACCACACGATGCTGGACGTACCACACAGACTGGACAAGGACAGCGACGTGTTCAAACTCGACTGACTGCTTGCCGGAGAGACCCCCGCCGACGATGAGCTTGTCGACAGGAGCGACACGCCACTGGAGCGTCCGGACACCGGGACATCGTAAGTCGTCGCCGCCACGCATCGCAGGGTGCCACTGTCCACGGGCACATCATACGTAGAACTGGCGACCTTGGCTATCCCCCGGGGTGGCGGTGGCGTGGCATAGGCACCAACAGGCTCCGAACTGGGCACGTCGTAATCAGCCTGGGGCCTGGGCACGTCGTACCACTCCGCGCCTGGACAACGAAAGGGCCGAAGTGCCCAAGGGTGAGGGAACAGAGAGACTGTTCAACGCTCGTACGGCTTTACAGTTGGAAACAAGAGACACATTATGTCAAACGGAAGAGACTGACCGAGAGGCAAATTCGTCGTCGTTTCTGGCCGTCTCCTGCATTTATTAAGTTGCCGGGGCTGACAAATCAGTTTGCATGTTGCTTATTTTGGAGCAATTACTAAACAAGGTCTCTTTTACATCGACTAAATTTAGGAGACAAGTGCTGATCACCTACAAAAAGAAAAACTGCATTGAGACTGTCCCAATCTCGGGTCTCAATATCTCGGAGATAAAAACCGTCCTTTCTGGTTCCTGCGTAATTGGAGCGGGAATACTATGAGACAAAATATTTTACATAGGTTTCCATGCTTTGAGAGGTTTTCTAAAAAATTTAGTTCTTTTTTGTTGTTTTGTTTGGGAGTGATAGGAATTCATTTCTTCAAATTCTGCATTTTTCGGAGCATTTTGGCTTCTATCCCCTGAAGTTGGGATTTATTGGGGCTATTTCCCGGAAAAAAAGTACCGTAATATTCCGACAGATGCCCCACCCCCGAAAGATAACCCACCCCTAGTTTTGGCACGAGTTTCTACTCTTTCAAAAACACAGAGAGTCTAACAATTGCAGGGCCCTGGCCCATGGTGACCTTGGCAGAAATGATGTCACCGCCCACAACAATAGCGGAAAAAAAAAAAAAAACTAGAGAAAGTTAATTACACATAATTATAGCTATACTCTGTCGTAACTATAGGAATGCCGCAAACCTCCCAAGTCGCATTCGAAAGTTTTCTAATATTTTGAACCTTTTAAGGTTCAAATTTGAAAAGTTTTTTTGAGCCTTCGCTCAAGTTCGAATTCAGTAAAATCTAAAATGTCAAAATTCGAAAATTTTGAATTGAACTGAGATTCAAGTTGGAAAAATTCTGAGATTTCGAGTGTAGAAATTCAAAAAGTTTTAAAAGTTCCCAATTTAAATTAAGTCTTCGAATTTCTTTGACGGAGATCGAACTCTGCAGTTTCAAATGAAGTTTTCAATTATTTAAATAAAAGGAGTTGCGAAATGTGCTGCAAATATAACTGAAAATGTTTCTTTTATGCCATAAGTACTTACCCCTTGTCAGTGCTGTGCTACTGATGGTACTGCCTGTACCTACTACTCATTATTTATCCTAGCTCATGAAACAAGCATTGAATTGCTTTAACGGTTCACCGAAAAGCCCCGAGACAATCCGAAGAACATACTTTATATTTCTGCAAATTAGTAGCAATCCGATCAAACGTCGCTTAAATGCGATGCTGGCACGAGACAATGAAATATGCAAGACAAGGCATGCACATAAAAGCATCCAGGCTTCCCGAAAATTGTTAGTTTCTCTAGCGTTCACTTTCAGTGGGATAATCTGTAGAATGGAGAAAACACTAGACAGAGGCACAGCACCCGACACAGCTCTAGGTTGAGGCGAACGCAACCAGACTAAATTAAGAGGCTCCCCGACCCCCAAAAATACAGCTGATATGCTATGCTCCGTTCACCCTTAAGCTGAGATAGAAGCTCCGTCTTCAGCGCAAGCTCACTAGCTTCTGCAGTGCTTTGGTTGCACATGCCTGCGCGTTCACACTTGTGTTAGCAAGGGCAGAAAGCTCGCGCTGAAGGCTGAGCTTCTAGTCTCCGTTTAAGGGTGAACAGAGTATAGGGTCACAACTGGTGATCATCAGGCACGCCATATTGCCCATCCAGCGTTTGCTGTAGCACGTCGGCATCGCACTCTGCGCGTGCCTTTCCCCAACCAGTTGCTTACTCTAGGAAGTCGGGGGACTTACGTTTACAAACAACTAGGGTTATAAAGGACGCCCCAGCGAAGAGCCTCAGTCGAATTTCAAGCCTGCAGACCAGGTGTCTTTTGGCCCACTAGGGAGCTAGTGAGCTGTGAACCTAGTGAACCTAGGGAGCTGTGCCCGGGAGAGGCCCTGTGCGGAAGCCAGATGAAAAAGGTACGAGGCACAAGGCCAAGGCCCAAACAAAGCGATCATTCAGAGCTTTAAAAGCGAGTCGTTGGTGGCACGATCGGGCGAAAGAAACTCCAGTGCAGTTTTTACTAGACTCCACACATTCATATCTCGTGTTATTTGTATTTGTTGCTTTAAACCTTTCGGGGTAAAGTTCGTTCAAACTTGGTCAAACTTTTGTTCAAAAGTTTGAAGGCGCATCAGACTTTTGAACATAGTCTGGTCACTAAAGGAGTCAGGACTCGCCAAAAATAAAGTATGAGATAACTATATATACTGCTAGGAACCACTGTACGTTACTATACTTTTGCTCAATTTGATTTGTAAATGGCGCAATAAATCGATTTATATGTGGGACCCTCGGATCCACCTTATTTGGGAAGGCCGTCATGTTTGTTGGGTCGGTGACGCACCTCGCCCAATGCGCAGCGTTCCCTTGCACGCACTCGCAGACTTGGCTCTCTTGGCGTCTCGCACTTCAGCTTCCTTGTTTACCTTCCGCGTTTCGAGCGTGCGGTTAGAGATGATGACATCATCGGCATCGCTCGCTTCGTCAGAGTCTTTGACACCAATCGCAGCAATGAGAGTGACTGTTATCAAGAGACGTTGGAAGCTGGCCATTTTGACTTCGACCCGCAGGCAAGCAGCTCCAGCACGACAACAAGATTGTCACGGACAAACTCGCCGTTGTCTGCGACGATCTCGCACGTGCATGCCGGGTGGAAGGTCAAAGAGTAAGGGGGTGAGAGCGAGAGTAGCGGTCATAGCGTGAGAGGCTGCGATTGAATTGTGCCAAGGCAAGCTTGGGCGAGTATGGGGGAGGCTACAATGAAAAAGCGTTCAACTATCATGTGGTTTCTGGGCATTATGGTACGACTAACTCGGACAGTGTTGTCTGGTCGCCAGATAAAAATGATCAACATTAGTAAATTGATTATTGCAATTACAAGAGCTATAACAATCACGAAACTTGGTGTATATACTATGTAGCCTGTGAGCATTCCATTTAAAAAATAATCTACCCATTTGATTCTCATCTCCAAGCCCTGAAGACGTTTTTTGAGATTGTTTGTTCTTGATGATAACTTATTTTACAGGCTCCAAGCACCCTAGAAATCCAAAAATTATGCTTGTGCGAAGTCTATTTCCCTACTAAAAATGTGATGGAAATTCGTGCCACGCCCCTTTCTGAGAGAAAAAATTTGGAGTACAAAATCCAGCGGAGGCGCCTCTGCTTGCAATTGGCTGACGCACGACCGTCGTCACACCGCCGGCGCCTCCGCTGAATTCTCTGCTTCAGATTTTTCCACTTAGAAAGGGGCGTGGCACGAACTTCAATCACATTTTTAGTAGGGAAATAGACGTCACACGAGCATAATTTTTCGATTTCTGGGATGCTAAGGTCCTGTAGAATGAGTTATCACCAAGAACAGATGACCTCAGAAACGTCTTTAGTGCACCTTTATCGCCCGATGAGCAGCTAGAAAGTATAAAAAAAAAAAAAACCGCCCCTCCATTCCTCCCTTCCATTCGAGGGAGGAAACCCCGCTTCTTTTTACGGGAAGTAGCACAAAGAACTGCTCCTTTTCTGGAGAGGAAAATAAGCATGAGAGTGAATGGAGAGAAAGACACTGGGAAAGGGACCTCCACCTTGTGGAAGAACACATTTTGAGTTAAAAAAAGCAAAGGAAATATCTGGATTCACATTAAACGACTTACCTGGTGCAACGGATAGTGTCACGTCCCCGTGGGAGTTGAGAGAAGAGCGTGGTGTGTCATAGGATAATGTGAAGGGCCGCGGTTCATCGTACGCCATGCCCTGCGTTGCCGGGAGGGGCTTTCTTCCTTCTTGAGGGGCTAGGAATGCACCAAGAACAACAAGGACATAATGAACTCCTTAACTGGGGAGCACATCTTTAGACGTAGCTCTATTTTGACCTTCAAATGGGGAGTGCGCTTAATTCGGAGAGAGGAAGCACGCCGTGGAATGCGTGGCCATTTTTTATGGGGATTACAGGTGCTGCCATATATCGAACACAATATCAAACACATTTAGGTTTGCATTCGCTGGCTGGCAAAATAATTAAAATGCTTTGTCAGGAAATATGTTTTCTTGTTACCGTCCCGGATTACGGATGCTCAGAGAGGCGAAAAGCTTTGACAGAGACGTAAATCGCGGCGTTGCTTCAGCGAAGTAACGATGATGACTTAAAAATGAGCGCATATTCAGTGACAGCAAAACCTCGGGAATATTTACGATCCTAGCCTGGCATTATATATTTTTTTCCAAAATCCACCTATAAAACATCCTTCTTCATGACCTACCATACAAAGTCACTGTAAAAATGAACAGCATCCCCCCTTCTCTGTATTTTAGCACAAGATCCAACATGTTATTCCTGTACTTTAAATAAACCAGTTTGCATTTTTTGCACACAAATAATTTTTGAGTAAAAAAAATCTCCTGAAAACATGGTTCCAGACCCCTTCCCCTTCTCCTTCTCTTCCCCTTCCCCCCCCCCCCCCAAAAAAAAAACAAAAAACAAAAAAACTTTACATTTAAGGGGATAATGGATCAAAACAGCTCGCAAAGCCTGCCTAGTACACATACACTGCAAACCACAATATGTTCTTCTAAAAGTTCAACTTGTCAATCAGAGACTTTTTATTCTGTCACATACAGGCCATGACGCATTAGAAATGAGGCACAATGTGGCAAACTCACCTGGAATGACAGTGTCAGCATGCACATGGGTGACTGGCCTTGGTAGAGTGGAATGGGCTGGCACGTCGTATTCTTCCGGAATCTTGGCACCTGCTGGAACGTCGTAGAGGTACACATCCCCAATCTTGTTGGGCGTCACGACCTGTGACAAAGGAAGAGACACCGTCGGGACGTGACCAGAACGGCTCCAGAGGAAGACTTGGCGATTCGGACCCCGGACTAATCGGCCCGAATCGGGCGGCGGCCAAGAGCGCACCTTGTTGGCATCCACCCTCCACGAGCGGCGCCTGGCATGCCTCTGTCCGGGCCCCGGGTAGGTGCTAGGAGCGGCCGCAGGCGGCACTGCCGACAGCAGGGACGCGTCGGCGTGCCCCCCCGGAGCTGCCGTGCCCGTAGCGTAGCCCAGGCCAGTTGGGTCGTACATGCCGGGCATGAGGCGCAGCCGGTTGCCCGGTGCCAGTCCCTGGCGGCCCCGCAGGGCACACAGCCACCAGCCTTCCAGGTCGCCCGGGTTCTGCTCCAGCACCGTGAGCACATCGTTCTTGCGGAAGGCCAGCTCCTCGGGGGACTCGGCGATGTTGTCGTACAGGGCACGTGCCAGGCAGTTCTGCAAAAAGGCAACGTCGCACTGCTCTTATAGAACCTGCATGTATGCGATGGCCATAAAGGACGCTATACTCTCCCCAAGGAACCAGAGAATGCTTTGTAGACTAGGCTTAACTAGAGAACTATTCAACTCCTCTGTTGCCATTCTCTTAAAGTACACCGGCGATTTTTTTATAGTCGCTGATTTGCCTCAAAATTGGCTCAACAACCGATAAACACGGCTGTACCAGACCCTTAAATATTGTGTGAAAAAAAAAAAAATTTTGAAAAGCTTGAATTCTTGAATTTTATTCTCGTCGTATTTCTCAAACCAAGAGCCCCTACTGGCAACACTGAAGTGTGACGACAGAAATGATACAAAGTGGGCCATAAATCACGTTCCCAACAGATTACAAGACGTTTGATGGTGAGAAAAGAATGCTTGGAACCTGATTCACTGAGAAGCATGCAAAAATGCTGAATATACTTTGTTTAAAGGGATGCTGAACTAAAACTTGGAGCTCACAAACCAAGCCTGTATGTAGCGATAGGTGGGATGCTGCAAAACCCCAAGACATCATTCATACAGCAATATCTCTACGGGATGGCCGTATTTTTGGAAAAGAAGTGTGCGATTGACCAAGGCCGATGAGGCCGACGAGACATCTCACTTCACAATTTTCATTCCCTCTCCTCTTCGCTTCATCCCCTCGAGCAGGTGAACCAAAGCGAGGGAGAGAGAAGCAAGGTCACTTCCCCTCATTCTCAGCTGTTCCAAGAGGATCGTGACGTCATAGTCCTTGCTTGATCGCACCCTTCTTTTCCAGAAAATACGGCCATCCGTTTGAGATATTGATGTATGAGCGATGTTTAGGAATTTGTAGCATCCCGTTCAACGCTTCTGCGACCTCACTGTGTGAAATCCAAATTCTTTCCTGACCGCGCCCATAGGCCATCGATCGCCGTTAATCAATGGTTTCCAAGCGCCGTCAAAAAATTTAATTTAGTGTGGAGAATTATGCTCCACAATCTCATGAACAGCCGAAAAACTGTAGTTTCGGTTTCTTTGTAGGTTTGAGCTTGATCACAAGCTGGTGTGCTGTCAAAACTAGTCCTGGGAACGGTAGATACACTTGTCTAACATGGCCAACTGCTTGCAACAGTCTTCATAACAAAGATATAATTATTTACATAATTCAACAGTATTGTGGCATATTTTTTAGACATCAATTGAGCTCTGGGGACATTTTAAATAATGTTATAGGTATCACTTAACAGATGGTTGTCACCAAGAATCACTACAATTTCCAATGCTGTCCTGAGCCAGCGTGCACGTATTATGTTACCAACAAGGCGGACAAAAATGCTAAATATGAAGAAACTGCAATCAAGGCTATGACAAAACCAAGGTAGAACACAAAGAAAGCCTTCTGCTGGAAATGTGAGGTGTACTATCTGTGTTTCACCAATATAAGCATTCCTTCGTTAAAAAGCACACGTGTTACGGAGGCTAACACTAAGACGAATCAAAAATAGCAATGTCAGTTAAAGTACACTAGCTTTGAGAAGTAATAGTAGCTGAGGGTGTAGGGCACATTTTGTATACTCAGCTTTTGTTTTATTCGTCGTTTAATTTGACAGAGCTGTAGAAGTTTCAGCGTTCATACGCTGAAACGTCTACAGCTATGTATGTGCAAAAGGCATTTATACGCCTTCCGCACATAGTATTTTCTTTTTTAATTACATTTTAAAATCTTTTTTCCACACTATACCAACCTCTGTTTCTTTTGAAAGAACGACTAATTGGCCACATTTTGATGTGTCATATTTCTGCATAAGCAAATTAGTTAGGAAAAAAAGGGGTTGCATGGTCCTGTGAATATTGCTGCTTTTCCAGTAGTCAGGAAAGAGTTAAGACTATTTGCACGACCTGAAAGTCTTTACCATTTGTGAAGTCACACCACTGGAGAGAGCACGGAAATTTGAATGTTGGTTTCGGCGTCATCTTTCATTTACGGTTTTCTCAATTGCTATCTTGAATTCTGTAACAATATATAGCATACCGTGAAGACTAAAGTGTGAGTATTCAGGAAATGCAATTCACACATGCATGCACATGTGTGAATGCTTACTTTTGGAAATACAAAAGAAACAAAATATCATTTCACTGGAACAGCGTTAAAATAAAATAAATCGCGTACCAAATTGGATGTTTCTTTCGAGGTCGGAAGGTTGCAATAAAACCGTGCCATTCTTAATGCAGCTAAAAGGCAAGGCGTTTTGCCATATGATAACATATATACATAAACAGTATTTTGTATGTCACGTTTTACGACAATAAAAAATCTGTATGGGAGCAATAAATAAGTGCTTCTTTTTGTTTTGTTTTAATCCCGTTGGAATGATTAAAGGGCAACTCCAGTCAAAAATGAAACCAAAATAAATGACTGGTATCGCTTTAGTGGCACGAAATATGATCAGAGCCGAAATATTACGTCAAAGTGAAGCCTCATACTCAAGGTTACTCCAGAGCTTCATGGTCACTCCTAAGCTCCCATTTATAAGTTGCTAAAGCTCATTAAGTTTTATTCTAATCTTTATTTATTGACTGCCCTCAAACAGTCGAAAGCCTAACTATATAGAAGTGATAATTCCCGAAATTTTACATAAAACCAATTTCAAAGATGCGACCAGCTGCTCTTTAGTGGGTTAGCTCTTAGTCAAGCAACACCGGGCCACATATATTGCATCACCCCTGTGAAGCACGGCGCGGTGGTGCCGCGGTTGATTCCGCATATATGAGTTGCTCAAGCTCGATCATTTCATTTAATTCTAAACTCTATTTATTGCCCCCAAACAGTCGAAAGACTATATTTATAAGTGGTAACTAAACAAGACATTTGATATAAAAATTAAACCTTAATGCAGCCCACTTACACCTAATGCAGTGGATTTAGAAATTATCATTATACCCAATTAGAAGCTTTTTTTTTTTTTAATCTCGAGTTTGAAAAACAACTCACAACCACAGCTCGTCAGAAATTGCAGTCTATCAGATATACTTGCATACTTGAAGGAAGTATATTTTTAAAACGTTTGTGCAGGGTTGAGTCGTCACAAAAACATTCACCAAATGTTTTTGTTGTTGTTTTTTAATACCCGACGCGCGCGCGTCATTCTGCTCTGGTGTAGTGTTTTCCCCGAAGTACGTTGCTGCAATGTGGCGAAGCGAGATACGCTTCGACCGACGTAGGTGTTGCTTTTCCGCCGTGCGTGAGCGCCCGATATGAAGAGCACTCAACGGAGCCAGATCACCCGCCCAAACGGATCACTAAAGGCCCGTTCACACTCATGCAACCGAGTACGACCGAGGGAGACAAGACCGGTTTTTAATCCTCTTACGACTTCTTAGGACCGGATGCGCTACAGCGGAGCTGGTCCTAAGAGATCGCAAGTGGCTTAAAAACCGGTCTGGTCTCTCTCGGTCGTACTCAGTCGCAAGAGTGTGAACGGGCCTTAAGAATGAGAAATACCGCGCAACTTCAGAGTTCCGTCAGTGTTCGACACGAAGGTTTGAATACAATAGTGTGTTCATCGAAACGCCAATTGAACGTTTTGCGAATTCGGGAAGTTTCGGCATTGAGAATGGAAAATTAACTTGTTGAGCAATGCTGGCACATACATGGTCGTTTTGATAGAATGTAGCCGAACCTAGCAGGTAAAGCCTCTCGACTGACAAGCAAAGTTTGCGTAATATTGAAACGATGACTGGAGGTGGGACGAAGGACGCGTTAGACGAACTTTAGAAGCAGAATAGCAGAGACCCTATAGTAGCCACTGGTTGCCACCGGACGTTCGCTGGGACGTCACAGTGACGTAATTTCATGAGGGACAGAACGATCATCCGGACTATTCAGCCAGTTTCTGTTAGCAGCAAAGGTATTGGCTGAACCATTCCAAACGCTCGACCGGCCAGCAGAAGCATACAGACTATATTAATGCGAAAGCATTAACCGTCCCATGGAGCGAAGCCGGCGTCGTATGTCACCGTCTGTAGCAGCAAAACGGCAGTTAAATTCCCATTGGCCAAAAGCACAACAACGCAGATGCTTCGTCACGCAAGCCGGCGGGGCGCTCCAGGTCAGAGCGGACGCGCCTCAGAAATAAAACACAAGGAAACGCACAGAAACGCAGATGCATCGTCACGGAAGCCGTGAAGCCGGCGGGGTTCGCCGTGCTTGCGCAGTGGGGGAGCGAGATTTTCCCCCAATGCGCAAGCAACTTAAATTTAGCGGGGAAATGAATTGACATCACGTGACTGCAACACCAATTCAGTTTCCACGCTAAATTTAGCGGGGAAAATGACGTCACGATTTCGTGTCACGTCACCCATGAACTGATTCAGCGGCAGGAGGAGAGGAGGAAGAAAGGAGGAGGAGGAAGGAGGAGGGTAGGGTACGGAGGAAGAGGAAAGGCATACCCTCCCCCCGTACCCTCCCCTCCTCCTCCTCAAGAGCTGCGCTCTAGTTTCGCATTACATAAATTTGTAAAAGTCTCTATTTTTGTTTTTACTTCTTTTTTTTTTTTACACCCTTAACGGTGTAAAAAATGGTGTTAAGACAGCCTGGGATAAGCTAATTTACATCTTTAAATTGTGTAAATCCGCTTGTCTCAAGGCTGTAATAACACCCTTAAATGCTGGCGATCTCGGCAGCATCCTAGAGATATTTGTTTTTACGAGCAACAAGTTGGCAAGCAACGCGCACCACACAATTATAACATGAGCAGAAACCATAAATAATAACTCAATGAAGTACGCACGCAACCGGAACCACTCCCGTATTGACTTTGCCATCGCGTTACATACTCGACAATTAAAGGAGACTCATTCGCAGGTGATCGCCACCGCAATTACGAAGGTCCCAAGTACGCTGCTTTGCTCTCGTCAATATTTCGCATAAAACAGAAAGAATATCTGGAAGTCCAAGGAATGTATCTTCAACGTAAAACGCATCATCCGCT